GCAGGATAGCTTCATTTTCTGTTTCTTTCTACAAAGGCGTAGGACTAAGGGAGTAATTACCTGTCTTTAAATTGGGATATTTCCTACAGGTAAATATTTATAAATATAAATTCAACACCAAAATTTAAAAAATAAATTAAAAATTCATATGAAAAAAAAAATTTTTTTAAATAACCCGTTTTAAGCGAAATATCGAGCAAAAACCGTTGTGCTTAAGAAACCGTTGTGCATTAGAAAAGCTAAAACTGTTGTGTGTGCCATTAGTTTTTGTGCAATAATCGATGTCAGAATCTTGTATATTTTAGGTAGGCATGTAATTGGTCGATATTTTGCTGGGTTGGTTGTGTCTGTTGTGTCTTTTGGTATGAGATATGTTATTCCTTGTGTTAGTGTTATTGGTGTTGTGTGTGGTTTACTAATATAGCTGTTGAATAGTTTTGCCAGATGTGTATGCGCTGATGTAAATTTTTTTAACCAATAGTTAGCTATTTTGTTTTTCCCGGGTGCTTTCCAGCTGTGTGTGTTAGCTATTGTTTTGCGTTATTGTTACTTCAGTCATTTGTTTTATTGTGTTGTATTTATTTTGCTCTTTCTGTACCAGTGCGCCTGTTGATTGTGTTGTGTTGCGTTTGACCATATATTACTCCAGAACTTTTCTACGTCTGCTATGTTCTGTGGCTGGATGATTATGTCGTTTGTATTCGTTTTCTCTAGCGTTCTGTAAAATTTCTTTTGGTTTGTGATAAATATTGTATTTTGTTTTCTTTTGTTTTCGCTTTTCTTGTAGCGTCTAAGCCGCTTGGCTAGTGCCTGTAATTTTTGTTTCTTTTGGTCCATTTCTTCTATTGCTTGTTGTTTAGTGATCCGTTCCATTTTTTTCTTTTTGTTTCTGCTTGTTATCTTATTATTTATGTATTGTGTTAGCTATCCTACTTCTTTCCTTAACTTCTCTTTTTTTTTTGTAGCCTATGTTGCCATGCTGGTATCATGATTATCGTTTGAGTGTTGGCTTTCTGTGTCTTTTTGGAGTGCATTTTTGTGATTGGTAATGCTCCTGTGTATATAAGCAGTTGAAGCTCTTCCATGATTGTGCTGTCTTTTATTCTATTTTGTACGATTTTGTTGATGTGGTCTATTATGGTGTCAGTGTTTGGGGTGTTTGGTGGCTTTTTTATGAATGGTGTGATGTGTATGTTTGTGTTCTTGCATTCTATGTAGGTTACTTCGTACTGCTCCTCTGTGTCTGCGTATGTGGGTGTTTGTGATTGGTGTTGTGTTTGTACTTCTTTTTGCTGTTGCTGTTCTGTTCTTTTTCTTTCTTATACTTCTGGATCTGGTTCTCTGTTGGTTTGGTAGTGTGTTTCTCTGTTATAGCGTGTATTATCGTATTGCTCCTGTGTTGTTTGTGTACCAGGCTGTTCTAATGTTTCTTTTACTTGTTGTTTGATATTGTCGAGTTCTGGTTGAGGTATTCTGTTGTTTCTAATTATTGTTCTTACCTGATCTGCAAATCTTTGTTCAGTTATGAAACTTAATTCCGGGTATCTGTGTGTGAATTCTTTGTGTAATTGTGTTCTATAGTCAGTTCTGGCTCTCTCTAGTTTTGTGACCTTGTAATTGCAAAGCATGAGGTATCTGTTTATTGCATCCGACCATCTCATTCTCTGTCTTTGTTTCCCTCCTAGAGTTGTAACTGGGAGCATTTCCCGTAAAACATCTCTATTTTGTCTGTTTTCTTCGTCCATTGCACTTTCCCTGTCATTGTTATTATGGTCGAGCTGTTGGTTCCCGCGATGTTCTCGACCGTCACATCTCTCGTTCGAGGCTTGGCTTCTCGTCTTTGGAACCCTCTGGCACACTTGGGGGTGGTTAACCCACCAAGTGGTTTCCCTTTTAGTCGCCTCGTACGACACGCAGGGATTACGTTGAGTCTATTCTTCCCCAGTACCCACACCGGGTTTATTATTATTATTATTATTATTATTATTATTATTATTATTATTATTATTATTATTATTTTTATTATTATTATTATTAATAATTGACATTTGGAACACGAAAGTTCATTACCGCAACTGATTCTTTTCTTAAATTCTAGAATATGTAAATATAAGTATTTTTTAGTCTTTTTAAAACTCTCGTTAATGTTGCGTTACGGTTATGTCAAAGTTGGATCATGGTAACGCCAAAGTTGGATCAGGGTTTCGTTATAGTCGGATTAGTGTTGCTTCAAAGTTGTATTAGGGTTGCGTCAAAGTTTGTTTAGGGTTTCGTCGAAGTTGGGTCATGGTTACGGAAAAGTTTGATCAGGGTTGCGTCAAAATTGGATCATGGTTACGCCAAAGTTAGATCATTGTTTCGTTAAAGTTGGATCAGGGTTCCGTAAAATTTCGATTATGGTTTTTTAAAGTTTGGTCATGGTTTTCTTTAATTAGGTCAGTGTTTTTTAAAGTTCTTTCATGTATTTTTCAAAGTAAATTTAAGGTTTTGTATAGGTTTTTTCAAGGCTTTTCAGTATTTTTTCATGGTTGTGTCAAGGCTTTTCTAAATTATTAATTTTACATCTATCATTACAATACTTATTTGTATGTTTTAATAAACGTATAAATAAGTTTTATTTAAAGGAATTAAGATTGTTATGTAGATTTTAATTTTTAAGCACCTTGATTTCAACCTGAGTAATTTATTGATCGAATAAAAGCATCCGTTTCTTATGTTGATTTTACGAAACATCCCAATCAAATATAAAGTACATGATTTTAATTTTCTTATGATCTGAGCTAACCAAACTTTGAATATTTTACGATTCAGATGATCACGTATCGTTAAATGGAAAAATAGGAAAATTTGGCAAGCTCTGGATAGTAGTTTCAGAATATGTACGTTGTGTTACGATTTTTATTCGTGTCTACGTTTCACTGTTATATTCTAACGAATTTAATGAAATCTCTCGGGTTCAGACTATCTCAAACTGGTTTGATAAAATTTGAAATTTACATTCATATAAATACATGAATTTGAAGCTTTCGTTATTTCTGTATAAAATGATCTTTGTATTTTTTTTTTTTCTTATCGAGTATCGTACGTGATACGTTAATATATGTTTTTGTATTTTTTTTAAATATAACCAATAATTATTAATCTAACACAGATTCTCCATCTTTTACGCCTAATCATATAATATTATTAATTAAGTTTATTGTATTAACGAACTCATCAGAATATTGTCCATCTTGTTAGGTATTATCATTGATTATAATAAACGCTGTAATGTGATGTTTACAATTTTCACGGCTGACCTAATCGATGATTTATTATTAAATGACATGCAACGTTGCGTGTTTTACTTGATTTTTTTTTAATTTTTATTCTTAATAGTCATCTTCCAAATTACTATGTTAGTAGAAATTGAGAAGATAATATATTACGCGTGCGTACATATGTATCTTCTTTATCCTATCAAAACAAATAAATTAAAGTTAAAAAGAAATAAAAACAAATTTATATTCTTCCAACACACGTTATGTCCAGTCGTATAAATTTAACATGAACGAGAAATGAACTAACCAAAATTATATAATAAATTCTACGTAATATCTCTTCTCTTTGAAAAAAAAAATAAAAAATAATTGAATCAATTTTACTAAAACGGTTAATATCCGGTAATCTATTTGCATCCCTTCCTGTGATTTTTGTTCTTTCTTCTTTTTTTCTTTTTACTCATGAAAAGCTCGAATACGTTTGAATTTAATTGATTTCATTAAATTTCATTTACGTTGGCTACCGGTCGTCGTAACGAATAGAACGTTATTTCGAATTATTATCGGAGAATGTTTTAAAACGAGCAACGTGTTCGATTCGTTCGAATAAACGTAAGGAAACTTTGATTATTTCTTTTTCCATTTTCTTTTTTCCTTTCTTTCCTTTCTAATTTCCTTGATGGTCATACGTTTAAAAAAAATGTAGCTCGTATATGAAAAAGAGAAAAAAAATTACTATTTTCTTTCTGTCCTTTTCTATTATTTTTAAAATTAAAATCTCAGTAGTAAACAGTTTATGACTTTTCTATGGTAAGATTGTATTTTTAATTTATAATTTTTAAACTAACGCAAATTTTAAATAAATTCTATGAGATTATAACAACTTGCTAGAATATGCATTTAATTATTATTCATTTTGTCAAACAACGTGCAAGTTAATTCACATCATTTTAGAAAATCAAGTGAATATATTTACGAATATTTATTTCTACATTTTAAATTTTATAATTTTTATGTTACATTGTTAAAAAAATATTTCATGCTAATAAACACAAAATTCATGAACAAACAACAATTGAATTTGCAATCGAATAAAGATTAAAACTACTGACAAATAAATTATTGTATTAAAAAACAGAAGAACGATTCTTCTTAATAAAACAAAAATATTTACGCAAAGAACAAAGTAATTTACGAACTATCTTCTTGAATGTTAGTGTACCGAAACCATCCCCAGAAAAAAAGAATGGGAAACGGTAAGTAAATTATTGTGTGAACCCCATTAGATACCACGATCCCCATTTAGGGATTTGGGAATTGCACTTATTGTGCATAACTGATCTGGCCAAAAATTTCCAAAGAAATGAAAGAAAAATTTGCCAGTCAATAAGTTTAAAAAATGAACGAATGGAAGAACGATTTTTCTTAACAAAAAAGAGAGGAAAAAATTAAAGAATATATACATACATGAAAGAACGAAACGAAGTTGCGAGTACATGACGCGCGTAATGAAATTGGAATGAGTTGGTACGCGTATTTACGCGAATCATATCGAGTTCCTGTCATGTACCATTCTTCCTAGTGCAATAACATCTCTGTCAGGATGCAATACGACGAACAATGGAATACTCTCGACGATGTATTGCGTTCGCGAGAACTCACGATTTCGTATGTAGTAAGTATGTGTTTCCTAAGCGTGTTCAGATTATACGTGTATGTATACATATATACATATGTAATTCTGTCTTATATGTATTGGTACATTTAAACTTAGTGTTTCTATGTGTGAGTATGTATGTGAATCTTCATCGGCTTAACTCGTATGCTTTGTATGTATCTGTGTCATGAAGGAAATATGGGTAATGTCGTCCACCTTTATACATTCGAAGCATTCATCCGTTAACGGAATTTCCTAGCAGTAAAGTAAGGATTGCATCTGAGGAATGCATGAATGATTTTAATCGGCTAATTAACTACCAAACGATCAAAAAAGACATAACCGAATTTTTTCAGGGTGATAAAAAAAAATGAAGAAACCTTTTTTTTTCTTTTATTGTTGTTATGTTAGAAGAAAAAACATTATTAGGGATAAATGGCCAAGTAACCCTGACGAAACTCTGACGAAAAACTAACGTAAACTAAGATGTAACGCAACCCTGAAGTAATAATATGAATCCAGACAAAACTCTGACACAACCGAATTTAGTTAGGTTCATGAAATAAAAACTAAGAGAACCCTTTGTTTTCTTCTCCTTCTACTACATATGGAAAAAAAACAATCATAGGCATCAAAGGACAGGTAACATCGAAGAAACTCTGACAAAATACTAAGGTAGACCCTGATGCAACCCTGATATAATCCAGATATAAACAATTACAAAACTCTGACACAATAAAATTTATTTCGATTCATGAAATAAAACCTGACACAACTCTCTTATTTCTTTTATATTTGTTAAATCAGAAGAAACAACTTTACTGACACAACAGCCCTAGTAACCCTAAAGAAGCTCTGACGAAAAACTAACGTAAACTTTGATGCAATCCTGACAAAATACTGATATAAATACTGAAAAAACCCTGACACAACAGAATATAAATCAGTTCATGAAAAAAACTCTGAGATAACCATTGATAACAATGATAAACATTTTTTTTTCTTTTATCCTTGTTATCTCAGAAGGAAAAATATTCATAGGCATCAAAGGCAAGGCAAACTTGACAAAACTTTGACGAAACTCTAACAAAACCATATCGTTATCCCTGACGAAACCCTGATATAGTCCTGACGTAGCCGTGACACAACCTAATCTCATTCGATTTATGAAATAAAAACGAACGCAACTTTTTATTTCTTTTCTTTTTTCCGCAGTTTTTTGTTACTTTAAAAGGACAAGCCTTCATAGGCACTAAGATCTGGCAACCCTGACGAAACTGTGACGAAACTTTGACACAACTGAATTTTATCTTGTTGTAAAGACAAAATTTTTATCTAAGATCGATAATATACGTGTTAAATATTCATATTTATGTATTACGTCTAATCTATACAAACAAATTATAATATTTTAATATTTATTATTTATTGTTAATATGTAAAACGTTTTTCGCGATATAATTAGAATAAGATCTTTTATTTACGAATGATAAATGTTTATTAAAATTATTACGTCTTGTGTTTTAATAAGAATCCAAAAAAGAAGAATAGTTTTTTAATTTAATAATTCTTATCATTTTAATTTAAAAAAACTAATAATAATATAATTAAACAAGAGATTATAAAAGGAAACAATAATATTTAGTATTCGATAATCATAATAATATTATCTAAAAGATAGATTCAAGTAGATACAATATATTAGAATTTCTAAGTGTAAATTATAGAAGCACAGATTTTTACCATCCATCATAAAAGTTTTATGTATATATACACACTTTCATGCATATATAGATGTGTAAGAAAAGGTTAACAAAATTACATTATA